CACCCCCCCCCAGCTGCCAGGATACCCCCCGGACACCTGGGTCCCCTCAGAGTTGGGCTGGGGACTCCCCAGGTGCCTGGTTCCTCCCAAGACACACCCCTCTGTCACTTTGTGTGTGTGTGTCCCAGGCACCATCATGACGAGAGGCTGCAGGATCCTGGCCAATGGGCAGTTGAACTCCAATTCAGCCTCGAGGAGCTGCAGGCTTTGGTCCCCTGCCACTGACAATCCACACCGCCCTCGGCTGGTGTGTGGCCCAGGAGAGGGCTTGGAATCACACCAAGCAACAGGCGGCCCAGCAAGCAGCGGGGGAATTGCCCTACCACAGCTGCTTCTCCCCTCTCTTGTATTCATGGGTGTATAAATACTCCAAAAAAAGGAAATACAGATGATCTCTTGAAACTGCAACCAGATTCTCAGCCAGTGAGGAGTGTTCAAGCCCTTACCATCGTTTTTTCCCTGTGGTACTCCATGGGCTTTTCAGGAGAAAGTGCAGGCCCTGTGCAGTGAGGATTTCTGCGATTGCTACCAGAGGCACCTCTGGAGAAATGGCTGTAACCTGTAAGTGGAAGGGGCTGTTTGTCATGGCACAAATTGGGGTAATACACAAGGACAACCTACCAAACCTCCAAACAATTATTCCTCTCATGGGGTATGTTCTAGTTGATTTGAAAGAAGAGAAAAAAACCCACACAACAGAAACCACCATACAGACTTATCATGTCATGTTTCAGTGTAGGTCAAAGAGGTGAAACTCATTCAAGTAGAGAAGAAACAGGAGGAAAGATGTTGTCTGGGATTGCTGCTGCGTCACCCATGCGCGGGGTAGCTGTGCTGTGGCTGCTACCAGGCTGCGCGGCGCTGCTGGCATCTGGGCAGGTTGTGAGCAACCCACCTGTCGACAGCCCCGCAGACAGCGTCAGCTCATGTCCCGCCGCGCTCGGCCTGCTCGACAAGGAGCCTGAGCTCGGGGGGGGAGAGGTCGAGCAGCTCCACAGACACACGGGTCACCTCAGCGAAGTGGCGAAGGATGAACGCGTCGGCTGCGTTTCGCAGGTTGGGACAGTGGTAATGCCCTGTGAGCCTCCAGATGCCGATGTATTTTCCAAGCAGAGCTGGGATGTGAGGAACTCACAGCACAGCCCGACGATGCCCATGACACAGAACTGGCCTGCCGACATGAGCAAACTCTCCATGTTCCAGCACGGTCCCGGTGTAGGTGTAGTTGATGATGAGGCTCATCATATGTCACGTGAAGTGCCGGAGATTTTATATACTGACACTCTTCATACTTATTTCACCAGCACCTTCACGAGAGGCAGGCAAGGGGTGTAAGTGTGGCCCCCCCGGCCACCGCTCCGCTCGGGGCTGAGGAAGAGCTGCAGGGTGCCAGAAAGATGACAAAAGAGGAACCAAGGGATAAACTCAAACAACTGGGCTGCGAGGTCCTTGCGAGCAAAGCGCACTTGTCTCCATACCTGTAGCAGGGAGATGCTCCCTCCACACTGACAAATCTGAAATATCCATGTCTGCCTCCCACCGTGGAGGGCCTCCGGTGTCTGTACTCACAGCAGCAGCTCAACCTGTCCACTGGCAGCCCATTGAGAATAAAGGTGAGGCTGAAGGGGAAACCTTTGTGCCTCCTTGAGATGAACTGAAAGGTCTCTGCAGTCACAGAAAGGATTCAAAGAAGAGAGGTTATGCTTTGCTGCCAACCTCTTGCAATTGTCATATCTCACCTGCATCAGCACCAGAGGACACAGCCCTCTGAGGTCAGGTACTCTGGTTCTCAGCTACGTTAATTAGTTGGTAATACCCCACCTTCTCCCCACACAACAGCCTCGTCTCTCTCCAACCCCAGAGTGCCCAGCTGGACACCCCTGTGACAACCACTCCGTTTGGGCACTCACAGCCACAGCAAACAGAGAGCAGAGCCTCTCATCTCCACAAAATTAACTCTGCCCTTGCCTTACAAGAGTGGGCATCGTGCACAGGAGGTTTAGGATTCCTGGCACGTGCCCACCCGGTGCAGGGCAGCAGCATGTCAGAGCCCCCGCCATGGGACACACCTGGCAGGGGCAGCCGAGGCTCCAGATGAGCACAGCTCAGCCCCAGCGGCTCTGGGCCCGCACGGACGCGGCTGGGCTCAGGGAACACCGGGCAGTGGAAAGATGCTGCTTCTGGAGCCGTTCCAGGCTGCTCTGCAAGGCACTGCTTGGACGGGGTTGTACCCCCTTTGCACCAGTCACTCCCTCAGGCCTGTGAGCGGGGCTGGGGACAAGAGGGGCAGGCACAGAGGACACAGCAGGGAGCCAGCCCAGCAGCCCCGTGAGCTGATCCCCGGGCACACCGCAGTGCTCCCACAGCCTCGGGGACGGGCGGGAGCGCAGGGAGCTCTGCACCATCTTCCCCCACCCGCTGAAAACGCCAGCACAGGGGTTCTGTGAGCTGGAATGAGGGGGTCATTAATGGAATCACTCTTCCTCACAAGTGAAAATCTCCTAGCCATTGCCTCTTCCCAGGTTCCCAGAACACAATTCACCTTTTACTGGTGCTATGAAATTGCACTCACGTCAGACAGATGGGAATTGAGCTCCCCTTATGTACTTTTCCTTCGGGAGTAATAAGCAACATGCACTTGCTGGACTGTGTAAAGCCAGAAACAGATAACCCCTATTTAAGGACAATCTGCTACTACTACTATACTAACCACACATCTCTATATGAAATTAACCTAAGCTACAGTATTTTGCTAAATTAGTTCTCTATATTTCTTCTACCATAATTTGCAGAAGTCATTCTAACCTCACTTTCAATCATGAAACAGTAGATCCAGATTTAGTGTGGATGTAGATGGTATAAAATCCCTGGATGCATATACTTTGACTGAGCTAAGCTGAAGTCATTTTGATACCACATCAACATTTTAGCAAAACAAAAAAAAAAAAAAAGATGTCACCAGAATTGATATGAGTTCTTTGTCTCTTCACCCTCACCTCCTTCCAACAGGTTCCCTTTGTAGACACAAAGGTTTTCTCCTCCACAGTGCTGCTGATAGACTCTGATTTCGCTCCTGTTATCAGCATCCTTGCCAAATAAATGCAGATTTCTTCCTAGAAAGGCCATGGTGATACATGGGCCGCTGCGTACCAGGGACCTGAAGGCTACTCCAGAATTCTGCAGCAGGAAATACACAAAAAATGCTTTCAGCTTCCAACTCTAAAAAAAGGTGAACACAACGAACATGTACATGTGGCGTACACTTGAGGATTCCAGTCTTTTAAGATGAGCCTTGGGCTGTTTAATTTGGAAAGTGCTTTGTAACATGCAGAAGGGGAGGAAAATGTTTCAGACTGAAAATCCACTGCATCGAATTGCCCCAAACTGCAGGAACCGTGACCCGTATGGTCCCCCCTAATGCAGGGTTCCTACAATTCCCTTTACAGAAGTCAAAACTGGCTGGAGATACAGGGTAACAGATGAAGTTTTCACACACTCAAGGCATTTCCTATATCCCTCTGAAGTTCAGGTACCAGATATGGTCACAGACAGGATCAGATCGACTAAACCAGAAGGCTTTAAGTAAGAGTTCCCATGGTTTTACTGTTCAAGCACCCTTTTTTCCCCCAGCTGATGAAAAACACCAAATGTTTTAGTATATGGAGAGATGGGTGGCAGTTACATATTTTAAGAGTTATGATTTTTTTTTTCTTTCAAAAATTCAGTGAATCTTCATGCGAACTAAGTAAACACATCTTGAAACGTTAGGCAAATACACCAACAAGGAAGATTATATACCTGTCCATAAAGAGAGAAGTAGAGAGAGCTAACTTACCATCCTTGGAGGTACCTCTGCCCCACTGGGTACAGTGATGGGACGCAATTGTCTCCCTCTGGTCACCCCAGTTCTCACTGTTTTTCCACTTTTTTGCTGGGGTGGAGGTGGTGTTGGTATCAGACCGGTGTTAATGATGGAAGATACATTGGTCATGTATTTTACTGTATTTGGTCCTTTTACTTCACTCCTCTCCTCCTGTGAAAACATTTTAACCAGGTTAAATAGGTTATGCAAAACCAGCCACCGAGCGTATTGAACCAACCCCGGTTTGACGTCTCTTTACACCTCGTTAAGACACATACTTCTAGAACAGTTCCGTAACTCGGTGCATGCACTTTGGCTCATGAAAATACTTCTGTGCTAAAACCCTCTCTTTTAATTTGCAAAGCAACAGGCAGCTGCTTGGTAGCATCACCCCCATAGGTATATAGAGCACTGTGAGCCGGGTGCTGCTTGTAACCGTGCAGGGTTCTGATCCCCAGCAGACAGAACCCCACGGCACTGCTGCGCTCCCTCCGCTGGCAAGCAAGTTCCAAAGCAGCCCAAAGAGTCTCCCAAGAGCAACATCATTTGGCATCAATTACACAAGATGTGGTTCAAAACACTTCTCTCCCGTTTGTAGTGGAGGTCTAGTCCTCTTTCAGGATGAAATGCAAACAGGCCCAGGTCCCTGAGGAGCAAAAGGCACCTCTAGAGAATAAATTCCGCAAACGTTGCGTGCTCTGGGTCTGAGCTCTGCGTCCTATCTGCATACCCTGTGACTGTTCTGGCTGTTTTGTCACCAGGGAGCATTAAGTAGAAAGTGCCAGCAAATTGTTGGAGTAAGGATCCTGCCCATCACAATCCAGAGCAAATGCAGGGGGGAGCTATTCGGCCAGTGTCTGCCAGGCAGTGGTCACAGCCCCATTCCAAAATCCCTCAGTCCCATGGAACACCAAAGGCAAAACCAATTACATCATGGTTTTTCTAGGACAGAAGACAAGTCCAAATCACACCTGAACGTAACTGTGTATGTATCAAGATCATGTCTGGCTACTCCAAAAAGCTCTCATTCTCTGAACCTGCCAGTGTGACTTAGCAGGAGGAATGGTAAAAATAAATAAAGGAGGGGTTTTTGCTACTTTGCAGCTGTAGATGAAGATGAAAACTTGTAAGGCTGTGTGAAAATATTCCTGAGTTCTTGGTGTTAACCATGTGGCTGCCTCTCCCTCTACATAACAGATAGTCTATGTGAAGGGAGAAAATTATGCATGCAGAGGTTTTCTACTATAAAAGATGAGTTCCCACATTTTTCCTCACTGTGATCAAGAACTGGGCATTAGACCAGTATGTCAATGTCTTGAAAATTAAGGGGAGGTTAAAAAGGAGAGCTTAAAAAAAAAGCTGAGACCCTTTGGAAGGCATGTTGCCTGCAGTATACAGTTCTGGGAGCTACAGTACTAAAGCAGTATTATAAAGCTGTCCCCACAATTTCATTATTTTCAGAATGAAATATGGCCTCACCCTGCCGGCAGGCTGTTGACTGAGTTGAGGTGCCGGGCACTTCTTTTTAGATGTGGAAGTATTGACAGCCCCCACCGCAGCAGAGATGGGAAGTGGTGGGATAAGGAGTGAGTGCTGCAGATCCCCTGGCACTGCATGTGGTCGCCTGGAAGTCTAGAAAAGGAAAAAGAAAACAGCTACAAAATCTCAGTGTATAGTTTCCAGTGCAGAGCAGTATCATAAGGGGGAAAAAAAAAAAAAAAAAAAAAAAAAAAAAGCACTGATTGAGATATTTGGAAGTGATGAGTGATTCTCAGGTACCTTCAGGAAATGAAATTTTCTAGTCTGCCTCTGAAGAGCCAGGCCCCTTTAGGCATCTCTCACTGAGCATCCAAATACTGGAGCATCCAGAATAGCTCTTGACCATAAATCCAGGTTTTGCTACTGTCTCTTCACAGTGCAGCCTTGAAGCAAACACGTGAGCTCACAGGCATGCCCAGGAATGCAGCCGTGTGCTGCCTTTTGGTGCCTTCAGCACACACACACTGAGAGAACGCACCACCAAAGCAGACCTACTTTTGTTCAATACTCAGCAGTTTTATCGCGTTATTAGTTCACCTTTTCCTTGTATGCCCTTCAGAATACCAAGTCAAAAAGCTGTTCATCTGAGTTAACTTGCTGCCTTAGAACAGGCAGACTCCTTGGATCGGTGCTGATGCGATGATGTCCCCCATCACACATAACTACAGGCCCAAGTGTCCCCTTTCTGGAGAGGAGGTTACCCAGGACTGAAAATCTCACTTCAGTCTGCACCCACGATCATCACTGAAATCAAGAACCAGTCAAAACTGAGCCATATATTTGACCTTTGACCTTAGACGTTCGTATCATTATTTTTCCAGAGTACATTAACATTCCTTCTCTGCCTGTTAACAGAGAGGAAGAGGTTTCTGAGCCAGAGCTCCAAAGCACAGCCTTCTGGATGAGCTTTAGCCTTACTTCACCTCTTCACCTCTGTTTTCTAAGAGGCCTCCACTGCTCTCAGGATTTTAGAACATGTGTGAACGCGCCTACAGCCCCAGCACCGATTAACAATACATAATGTACTGACACCGGCCTAGCCTTGGGCAACAAGGCAGAGAAAAGGGAAGGATTAAAGCACATTTATCACAAAGATATTTGTTTCCTATGTTCTGATGTGCCATTCCTGCAGCATCGGCTTCTGCAGACTTCTCTTTACTGACACAACCCTGCAAAGAGGAGGTCGGCCCCAGGGGATGGAGGATGGGGCAGTCAGAGCTCTAGACTAAGCCCAGACCTCACAGGCCTACGTGCACGCCTGCGCCTTCGGGGTGGCTGCTAAAACTCACCTGTTGTTGGGAGCGACCAGCGGCTTCTCTGCCAAGGGGAGGGAAGAGCCTACGATGATTTCTTGGACCGGCTGGTGGATGAGGGAAGTACCTAAAGCTGGCTGGTTCCACCTAAAAGAAGCGAAATTTACGTCTCTGAGGTACTAAATTGTGGGAAAGAAGCAAATCAACATTGGCCTGCCAGCTCTAACAGCAGTGTCTGAGCCTGCCTGCCAGCTGTCTTTCACTGGACAGCTGTGACACTGGGACGCCTGCTTAAGGAAGGAAAGGAAATCACGGGGAGAAGGAGAGGGACAAGAGAAAAGACCTGTTCCCACCTCTGACTCATTTCCCTGCAGCCCTCTCCAGCCTCTGAGCCTCCCAAATGCAATTCATCTGCCTGTTTCTGCGTATGTCCTGATTCTTGGCTTGGCTGAAGTGCATCTGCCAATTCCTTGCTCTGGCTGATGCCCCTCCCTCCCTTTTCTTTCCAAAAGCCCCACGTTGGGCTGACGACCCTGCTGGAGACAGACAGCTCTGTCTCTCATCCTCCCTTGCTCAGTCATCTGTCTTTCTCCTTTTCTTTCAGGTTAGCTACTCAGCCGAATTCACTGAACGTATGAGCTGAGGGTTAAATGAACGTATGAGCTGAGGGTTAAATGCCAAGATCCCAAGAAAGCCGTCCCGGAAGCGAGAGAGAACTAACCCCTTCCCAGCCAACCCTCCTTTACATCCTGAGTGTGACGTTACACAATGAGGAATATTCTCCTGCCCAGACTGGGTCTGCTGCTGTGGCCATGGCCCCTCACAGTTTCTTCTGCAGAACCCATGGCAGGACAGGCGGAGTTGGAACGTCCTCGATCTCTTGGCAGCAACTGCACACATCCCTGTGCTATCAGCATTCTTCTGATACCAAATCCCACACTGAATCCAAACACAGCACTACTCTAGCTACTAAGAAGAAAAATTAACGCTGTCCCAGCCAAAACCAGGACAGCAGGCATCTCCCCTATGCTCCTCACTGACGGAAGGAGTTTGGGGTTTTGTTCCAAAATCACCCAAGTCCAGACTCCCTTCACAGGCTGCCTTAGTCACGGCTTCCACTGGGGTGACTCTGCCAGCAGGACTTCAGTCAGTAAACAGTGCAAGTACCACAGCCATCGCTGTCTGTCATGAAAATCTCCTCCTTCCTTTACCTCATAAAGGTATTATTTTAAATCAGAAAGATTTGACATTGGTTTTCAGCTGCTCCAAGCAACAGCTAGCTTCACAATGCATTCTTCTCGATGGACACAGGCTCCTAATAAAGAAATAAGATGCTGAGTGTATTTCAGCCAGAATGAGAAGAACTTTTCCCATGTGAGTCCAAGTGACTTCATGGGGAGAAGAACCACTGACTTCTGTGGGATTTCCGTGACTCTAACAACTACAGAACCAAGCCCTACCTACATGACACCAAAGCAAAGGCTTCTGAAACCTCTTTTCATTACTTACATGCTGGTTCTGCTAAATAGGGTGTGGAGAGGAAAACAACTGAAAATATGAGCTCAGTGTGCAGCTGCAGTCAAGAGCAGATAGTGCCTAGAACTACCACAAGAACTGCAATGTGTATCCTGAATTATTCATCCTGTTCTGGTTCCCCATTTCTAAACAGAAACAGTAGAACTAGATAAGGTTGAAAAATGGCAACAGCAATGAGAAGCCTGGAATGGCTCATGGGTGAAAGCATCAATAGACTGAGAGTCTTCAGCTTGGAAAACTGAGAAGGAATATGAAAAAGGTGTGTAAAACTACAAATGCCTTGGAAAAGAACAGTTATTAACTCTTTTCATAAGGAGGACAATGGAGCACCAAATTGCTCCAATTATCAGACAGCAGATACATAATTATTGTGCAGAAATGCAAGAAAGTGCCATTTCCTACAACTCGTAATTAAATTCCACAACCAAGCACACTGCAGAACCAAAATAATAAGTAGATTCCAAAGGAATTAGGGGCGTGAATGGAAGTTCCTGAACTGCTGGATAGAGGAAGGAGATGTAACCCGGGGCAGGATCATCCTCTACTTCTCTGTTTCTTGTACTTTTTCCATAAACATCAGAGACAAAGCCGTTGGCTCAGCGAGACTCTGGCCTGACCCACGGCTGCAGTTTAACCCAGGGCAAAGCTGCCACGTCCCCCCAGCGCTGGGGAGCACTCCAGCCTTACCTTGACTTTCTGCACATTCTCCTTCCTGCCATTCTCTGCACGTTTCTTCTCTGCTCCTGGCTGGCGACGACGCTATCAATGTAAGAGAGAAACCTCGTTAATGGGCGTTATGAGATGTCAGTGAAGGACGTTATGAGATGTCAGTTGCTTCTGCTCCGCTTCTCACCTGCCTGCTCCCTGGCTGTTTTCCTCACCGAGCCCTATTACAAAACCACTATTGATTCAACCCATTTGCATGACACCTCTGTAAATCAACATTGGCAATTAACAACTGAGCATTTGTAAAGTTGTAGGGATCGACTCCATTCTTGATACGTAACAGGAATGTGCCCAAACTTTGTGTTCAGGTAAGATATATGACCATGTTCCAACTACTGTTTCGACTGGAATTTTTTTAAGCCAGCTAGCCCTGTGCATATCATCCCACAACCTGATGAGAGCCGAAGGGCAGCACGAGAGCCAGGACAGCGTACGCTCTGATGAACAACGCTGCGGGCTGACAACCAGAGGCCAGTGGAGGTTTCACGTGGGGATGTCAAGCACAACGACTGTCCTTTTCCCAGCAGGACAGAGCCTTTCAGGGCACCACCAGGGCGCAGCTACCACAAACAGTCCAGTGTGAGTCCACAGCCCCTGGCTCTCAGCAGGGGAGTACCTGACATGGCTCACACGGCGCTGGTAAATGCCTACCTCTGTGTCAGGGGCCTTATTAAACACGGTGCCAGCCAGGTACTCCTGTACGTATTTCAGGTGTTCCTCCCGTAGACTATGTTTTGCGGAGAAATCACTCTATAACTTTTGGGGTTATAAAGTGGGTATGTTTATTCAGCGCTGGGCGCATGGGGGATCGCTCCACCACAAGCATGCGCACCGTCTGCAGCTCTCGTCCGGCTTATATGTTACAAAATAGTGCATATTCATAAAACGCCTATACATATACATAGTCTACCCCCGCCTCCCCTCGCTTCTCATGGTAATCAGGTCTCCTCTTCTTCTTC